TTACTTCCATACATCTTGAACAATTTTGACCCTGCACTCAGCAACTTGGTCCTCAGTGACCCAGGACAATGTTTGAACGTAGAGTGGTGTTCGAACGTTGTACTCAAGTACTTTTGTGGTCCTTCTTTCTTTGCTACAGCACGCCAGCAGGTGTTAGTAGTATAGTCTTCTCAGGATTCCAGAGCACATTCGAACGTGAGTTGGCATTCAAATGTGGTACTCAAGTACCGCAACATTTTCCCTTTTTGACTGCAACACGCCATGTCTCAGTAGCATGGTCCTCAATCACTTTAGGGGAATGTTCGAACATTGAACCACGTTCGAACGTTCTTCCTTTCTTCCAAGGGATTACAATTTTGCCCCTTAATCCACTAGTGTTACATCCAAGTGTGATATTTGTTGTCCTTGAGCTCTTGTTCACTTTAGTACCTTAAATGTCATCACTTAAACTCCACAAAAGTACAGTTAGTCCTAAAAAGGCATAGTAATATGTAAATTTAAGTATTAATCACACCCCAACCTAAATATTGCTAGTCTCTAGTAATACAACAATTGAATGCAAATCTGTTTCTAATGCCTTTTTCGTAGGTCATCCGGTTGCATTTAGCATATGCAACAAGCTGTTGAACCACTAGATTTACCCTAGCGGATTAGTGTTGTCTCGTAAAGTTTTTAAGTGAAGCTAACCATGAACTTCAGTCAAACATATGTGTATGTGAGATTGCTGATTAAAGTAAATTAGCATCATGGTCGTTGGGACACCTAACCCTCAATTTTGACTTATATCCCACATGCTCCTCTTTCATTGGTATTTATTCTATGCAAAAATTAGCATCTATCACATTGGCATTTGGCATTCCTTGAGTAGTGGAAATGATCATTCTAGAAACAAGAATTTCTATATAACAAACATTCCACTTTACCACCTTCCATGGATAGCTTTAATTTCACAAACCTCTCTTAGAGTGCTCTCAGCAAAAATTCGCTCTGATTATAGTGACTTGTTTCTCATAGGGCATGTAATCAGAAGATGGCCAGTCAAAAAAATCACATGCGCAATTAGTAAAGGAGTGAAGTTTAAGGAAACAAACTAATCATTGACTTCATCCAAAATGTGTACACCCAAGTGCAGGCAAAGAAGTTGTAGTAATAATTCAGTGAAGTTCGGAGTTGAATCTATAGGAAACTATGATTAGTGTTTTGAAGTAAGAAAAAATAGAGACCAAGTGACTGAGAATTTTGAGAGTTTGGATTGGAGAGATTTCTTGAATAGAATAGAAGATTCTTTTCAAGAATTTACTAGACAAAACATAAGATAAATTAACCAAGATAACAACCACTGTTTAGTTCAAAGATCAAAACATGTAATTGTTATCCAGTTTCTTATGTCTGTGTGCTTTATAATTCAATTAACTCCCGTGTCAACAACAAGTTAATCTGAAGATAAAGATGGATTGTGAGAATTAAACGCATGATTCCGATGCCTTTTTAAAAGTTTACAAGAATTGTCTGTGTCGAGACTTCACCCGTCTAGCAACAAGCAAGTGTTTCTACAAACCATCCAAGCATGGCATTAATGGTCCATTCTTTGAATAAAGCGCAATAATGGTGGAGATTGAAAGGTTGTCATGAAGAGCTACCCGGAGAGCTTGCCTTGAACCAACGGGTCTTTCTATAGAGGAGTCATCTGTATCATAGAAGGAGCCCTTGGTTATACAAAGTACCTCAACTTTGCTAGATGCATTCAATCATCGAATGAGCAAGTGGAAGTGGAAGATAAAGCATTAGAGCATAAAGGAGTTGCACAAACAAAACTTTCGGATAATGTTTACATATTTATCACCTTTTACTACATACTGAATGAGGAACTACTTGCTTTTCATGGCCTTGGCGAAGTTAGAAAAGTGAGTAATACTCATCCCTCTAAGTGGAGGAGCTACTAAGTGGAACAAACTAAACAAAGAGCTTATCTTTAATAAAGAATAGGTGAATCACATTCCACCTTTCATGGCATTGGTAAAGCTCTAGAAAATTGGAAGAGTTTCACTCTTCTATGAAAGAAGAATGCTCAAGCAGTGGAAGTGAAATACAGGAACAATACAAGTGAAGAAAACTAGTTGCTTTTGGAGGGTTTCCACCACAACCAAAAGATGAGCTATCTCTCTTAATACTTGTAAATAAAAGCAAGTACAACTACAAGGGGAGTCTAAGCCTCCATCATGTTTGTCACAACATGAATGAAAAAACTTAGCACAAGTAAATAAAAGACTTCAACTACAAGGGTATCATGGTTGAGACAAATGCAAAAATGAAAACATAAACAAGAAATGTACAAAAACTAGCTCTCCACTCCACAAGAGAAAAGATTTATTTTTGAAGCTCGCTTAATGAGAGTATTTATAGGCAAGGAAGGGGAAGGGGTGAGTGAAGGAATAGTGTTTGCCGCCCAAGCCGAAGTGAAAAGCCAACCACTTTGCAGCCAATCAGTGGGGGCCGTTCGAACGTGATATGTCGTTCGAATGTTTTGTCTGTTTTTGCTTTAAGGGCGTTCAAACGTGATATGTCGTTCGAACGCTGTCTTTGTCTTAGTGGTCTAGTTTTCTCAGGATTCCAGAGCACGTTCAAACAGGAGTTGACGTTCGAACATGGTACTCAAGTGCCGCAACATTTTCCTTTTATTATTGCAACATGCCTAGTCTCTACAGCCTAGTCCTCAATCACTTCAGGGGAACATTCGAATGTTGACCCATGTTCGAACGTTCTTGTTTTGTTCCAAGGTATTTCAATTTTTCCCCTTAATCCACTAGTGTTACATCCAAGTGTGATATTTGTTGTCCTTGAGCTCTTATTCACTTTAGGACCTTAAATGTCATCACTTAAACTCTATCAAAGTACAATTAGTCCTAAAAAGGCATAGTAATATGTAAATTTAAGTATTAATCACACCCCCCAGCCTAAATATTGCTACTCGCTAGTAATACAACAATTGAATGCAAATCTGTTTCTAATGCCTTTTCCGTAAGTCATCCAGTTGCATTTAGCATATGCAACAAGCCGTTGAACCACTAGATTTACCCTGGTAGACAAGTGTTGTCTCATGAGGGTTTTAAGTGAAGGAAACCACAAACTTTGGTCAAACACATGTGTATGTGAGATTGCTGATTAAAGTAAATTAGCATCATGGTCGTTGAGACACCTAACCCTCAATTTTGACTTATATCCCGCATGCTCCTCTTTCATGGGTATTTATTCTAGGCACAAATTAGCATCTATCACATAGGCATTTGGGATTCCTTGAGTAGTGGGAATGACCATTCTAGAAACAAGAATTTCTATATAACAAACATTCCACTTTACCACCTTCCATGGATAGCTTAGATTTCACAAACCTCTCTTAGAGTCCAGGCTTTTATAGTATGAGGAGGAACGTTCGAATGTTCATGTCGTTCGAACATTTGTAGAAGCATTTTAACAAATAAATTCGAACGTTAAATGTCATTCAAATGTGATGAGCTACCAGTACTTTTGAGTTCAATCAGAGACCAAAGTACTATAAGCTCCTGTCGTTCGAAAATGCTACTAGCGTTCGAACATTAATCTCGTTCGAACGTGCTATTGGCATTCGAATGGACTGAGCTCCCAGTAGTTTTTGTTTCCATCAGAGATTTCATCAAAGGCTGAGTACTGTAAGCAAGCGAAGATTGAACGTCAATTGGCGTTCAAACGTTTAACCAAAATTTTAAAAAATTCTATACTACTCTACACACAATCACATAAATTTATTTATAAAAATTTGTACCAAATTTCATGGCGTCTCAAGACAAATCCCCTATCCACGTTGTTGGTTGGTATTTCAGGACGTTCCTTACTCGGCCTATGTTTTCATTTCAATCAAAAGAGTTTATACAAAATACAAAGATTTTTACACAAATTTGGACCCTTGGCTTTCATCCCCCACAAAAGTACACTTTTCCACAATTTAAAAACAAGTATAATCCGAGTCTTCAACTATCTCCGTGCCTTTTGAACTACTAATAACTCTCCCAATTTCCTCTCTCACAAACCGGTTAACAAGACTACCAGAATAGGATGGCGTGTCAAGATAATCCTTACTTTGCCCATTCACTATCTACTATAATCGATCGAGTGCGCGACCAGAAATTTGTTCAAAACACTAGTTATATTTCTTCTCGTGAAAGACTTTACCACACTGTTTACAGGCGCCATGTCTTTTGGCACGACGGCATTTAGCAAAAGTGCTTCTGCCGCACAGGGATTTTGCTTGTTGTTCTCAGATCTCATTATTTCTCACCAATCTTGCTTTTCTCAAGATCACAGTATGCACATAGAAGGAAAAGTGCATAGAACTCCCAAACTAAACCAAAAAAGTTTAACATCCATGCTTTCTACACTTTAAGACCCACTATCTGGTTCTTTAACGTACAGTCACAAAGACGATCAAAGCTGACTCAAAAACATAATCATTTATACAAGGCACACAATACTGAACAACAACAACAATAACAACAAAAACAAAAAAATTTCTACTCTACGCGCACATATAAACAATAGTTCTCACCTCCCAACCTAAACTGAACATTGTCCCCAATGTCTCAAATTTAACAGTTTGTGAATCTTGGAGATGAGGTTGAAAGGTGGAGATCCGTTGAATTACTGAAACCTACAGTCAAAAATACACAAATCAATCATCCCTCCGTAGATCTGGGTTTCGGGTAGGCTGGTAAGCCTTGTCTGTTAGTGCGAAGAGAAGTAGAAGACCTATAAGCAAATACAAGATTAAAAAACAAAGCATGAAACATAATATTGTGTCTAGTGAGTGTGTGGTCATGGTGCTGTTGAGGCTGGGTCTGGTTCTAGAGAACAGTGAATAGTGGAGAAGAAGAAGTAGAAGAAGGTGTAAAAAGGAAAAAAGAAAGAGGAAAAAGGGGAAGGGTGGTGGGAAAAAAAAAAAAGAAAAAAAAGGGTGTGGGCATTATAAGGGCATCCCATTGGGACGGGTTTCTGCCTGACTCCGACTATCCCAACTGCAATACCGTCCACCAAGAAGGGTATTCCTATGGTGGTGCACCTCCATGGTGCCATTGGTGAGGCCGAGAGTGATGGACACGCGGAATCATGGTTCACCGTTGGATTCAAAGAACGAGGGCGGACTTGGAGCAAGAAAATGTACCATTATCACAACTTTCAACAACCGGGAACAATGTGGTATCATGATCATGCCATGGGACTGACTAGAGTCAACATTTTAGCTGGTTTTAGTGGGGCCTACATAATTCGCCAACCCAATGTCGAGGCACCACTTGGCTTACCCCAAGGCGATGAATTTGAACGACCATTGGTCATTTTTGATCGTAGCTTTCGAACAGATGGTTCCATATATATGAATTCCACAGGAAACAATCCCTCAATTCACCCACAGTGGCAGCCTGAATACTTTGGTGATGCTGTCATAGTAAACGGAAAAGCATGGCCCCACATGATCGTGAAGCGTAGAAAGTACCATTTTCGTATCATCAATGCAAGCAATGCAAGGTTCTTCAAATTCTTCTTCACCAACGGTCTAGATTTCATCCATGTGGGGTCCGACTTGGCATATCACGAACGGCCCGTGATAATCGATGAGATCCTCATGGCGCGATTCTCGAAGGGATTTTCTGGATCCATTAAAAGAATGGTCTCTACATTTTTGACAAAGTCCTCCACAAAGGGTTTCAATCGCTGACCATTGACGGTATTGATATTACCATTCGATGGGTTCTCCACTTCCACTGCCCCATGTTCAAACACTTTTTTGACAATGTATGGTCTTGTCTATCTTGACTTCAACTTGCCAGGAAAAAGGAAGAGTCTGGAATTAAAAAGCATAACTTTTTGATCAGGTTCAAAAGACTTCGACACTATGTTTTTGTCATGAAAAATTTTCATCCTGGATTTTGCAATCTTAGCATTTTCATATGCTTCATTTCTCAATTCCTCCAATTAGTTAATCTGAAGTTTTATTGCTAGTCCGGCTTTTTCCATGTCAATGTTCATTGCCTTAATAGCCAAGTATGCCTTATGTTCCAATTCCACAGGTAGGTGACAAGGCTTTCTATAGACTAACCGATAAGGAGACATAGCCAAAATTATTTTAAAAGCAATAAGATATGTCCATAGTGCATCCGTTAGTCTTGACGACCAATCTTTGTGGTCTAGATTTACAATATTTTCTAAAATTAATTTGATCTCTCGATTAGCTAATTCAGCCTGTCCACTAGTTTTTGGATGGTATGGGGTTGCAATTTTGTGAAAAATCATGTATTTTTCATCAGATTCCAGAAAAAGAGCAATTGCAAAACTTAGCACCCCCATCACTTATGATGGATTTTGGGATTCCAAACCGGAATAAAATATTTTCAATTAAAAACTTGATCGCCATTTGATGATCATTATTCTAGCATGGAATTGCATCAACCCATTTGGATACATAGACTACGGCTACCAAAATGTATTGATTGCCAAAGGAGGGGGGAAATAGTCCCATAAAATCGATACCCCAAAACTCAAAAATTTCAATTATTAGAATAGGGTTTAGAGGCATCAGGTTTCTCTTCGAAATATTTCCCAACCTTTGACATCTATCGCAAGTTAAACAAAAGGCATGGACATCTTTGAAAAGTGTGGGCTAGTAAAATCCGCACTACAGGATTTTCGCAGCGATGTTTTTGGATGAAAAATGGCTACCACATGCTTCAGAATGACAAAATGTTATTACTTGTTGGCTTTCCTGAGCGGGGATGCAACGTCTTATGATTTGATCCTTACAATACTTAAATACGTACGGATCTTCCCAAAATAAGTTACAGACCTCCCTCATAAATTTCTTTTTTGTCCATGGGAGTAAAGGATGGAGGGAGTGTTGCAGTAGCCAGGAATTTAGCAATATCAGCATACCATGGGGTTTCATCAATCATGAACAGCTGTTTATCGGGAAATTTCTCATTGATTGGTAATCCATCCTAGTGAAATTCATAACTTAACCTGGACAGATGGTTTGCCACCACATTCTCAACCCCCTTTTTGTCCTTAATGACCTGGTCAAACTCTTGAAGTAAGAGTATTTATCACAACTCTTGCCACTAGGGTGCCCCTATGCCCTTGGCTTCTCTTGAAAAAGTCTTTGTTTAGTGATCCCATTGGCTTTTGAACTTCCATTTCAGGCCGAACCCTGATCCCATTATAAGGGCATATCTCAGTCACCAAAGTGTCAAAAGGGAGTGCACTCCTCTATGCATCACACCCCTTCTTCATTTCACTCAGAATCAATGAGGGGAGGTCAATGTTATGCCCTCTTTCCAGTGCATAGAGTAAGCATGTCATTTCAGGGAAAATCTCATTTTTTCCATCCTATAGGGGCGAGGTCAGACACTACAATCAAAGTTAGCATTTTGTACCTATCGATGAGTTCCCCTTGATTCAAAAATCTCCTTCTTCCCCATGAAAAATAGCCATCCCAGTTAATTCCTTCCCAACCCTATCCAACGCAACATTCTTTTTTTGCGGGTAAGCTAGGTTTTGCACCCGAGGCACCTCTTTCCTTATTTCCAAAATATATGCCTCATCTACATCAATGTGGGTGCCACTTATGTGTGCTCGGATGGCGCCGTTGAAGATCTCGGCGTTCGAGTAGAACTCCCTCACCAAGTCAACAACGGCAACCCTACCGTTCCTCAAAAACAACACCCATTCCCTCCTCTCCATTTCCTCAAAAATTTCCAATTCTGCAAAGTTAGTAACAACAACAACTCTTTCACATACTATAGCAAGGTTTGAAAGAAATTCTCATACCTTTCAACTTTGAGTGCACTAGGAAGCCTTGTTCGATCATAGCTCTTCATCCTTTGCCTCCCCTCTATTTCCTCAATGACTTCTTCTAAAAATTTAGGTTCGTAGTTTATTGGTTAATTGTACCTGGCAGGAAGCTTGACCCTAGGCATGGTGTTTTCTCAGTTTCGAGCTTGAGAGGGTGTGAAAATCTTGAGTTTTCTTGTGAAGATGATGATTTTGGATGGGGAAATGACTTTGGGATGGTCGATTTTAGGTAGAATTGAGGAATGGGTGGAGTTTTGAGAGCTGGAGGTGGAAAGGGGTTCTAGGTTTTGGAAGATTTTGAACTAGGGAAGACGGTCCAGGCTTTTATAGTAAGAGGAGGAAGGTTCGAACGTTCATGTCGTTGGAACATTTGTATAAGAATTTTAACAAATACGTTCAAACGTTAAATGTCGTTTGAACGTGGTGAGCTCCTAGTACTTTTGAGTTCCGTCAGAGACCAAAGTACTGTAAGCTCCTGTCATTCGAAAATGCTTTTAGCGTTCGATTGTTAATCTCGTTCGAACGTGTTATTGGCATTCGAACGAACTGAACTCCCAGTAGTTTTCATTTCCATCAAATATTTCATTAGAGGCTAAGTACTATAAGCAAGCAACATTTGAACGTCAATTGACATTCGAACATTGAACCAAAATTGAAAAATATTCTACACTACTCCACACACAATCACAGAAGTTTATTTATAAAAATTTGAACCAAATTTCATGCAGTCTTAGGACAAATCCCTACCCACGTTGTAGGTTGGTATTTTTGGACGTTCCTTACTCAACCCATGTTTTCATTTCAATCAAAAGAGTTTATACAAAATACAAAGATTTTTACACAAATTCGGACCCTTGGATTTCATCCCTAACAAAAGTACACTTTTCCACAATTTAAAAAGAAGTCTAATCCGAGTCTTCAACTATCTCCGTGCCTTTTGAATTACTAGTAACTCTCCCAATTTCGATCCTCACAAACCGGTTAAGACGACTACCAGAATAGGATGGCGTGTCAGGAAAATCCATACTCTACCCATTCACTATCCAATCTAATCGATCGAGTGCGCGACCAGAAATTGGTTCAAAACACTAGTTATATTTCTTCTCCTGAAAGACTCTACCATATTGTTTACAAGCACCAAGTCTTTTGGCACGATGGCGTTTAGCAAAAGTGCTTCTGCCGCACAGTGATTTTGCTCTTTCTTCTCGGATCTCATTATTTCTTACCAATCTTGCTTTTCCCATGATCACAGTATGCACATCAGAAAGAAAAGTCCGTAGAACTCCTATAATAAATCAAAAAAGTTTAACATCCATGCTTTTTACACTTTAAGACCTACTATTTGGTTCTTTAATGTCTGTTAGTCACAAAGACAATCAAAGCTGACTCACAAACATAATCATTTATAAAAGGTACAAAATAATGATCAAGAACAGCAACAATAAAAAAAACAAAAAAATTTCTACGCTACGGGCGCATATGAATAATAGTTCTCACCCTCCAACCTAAACTGAACATCGTCCCCAATGTTTTGAAATTACTAGTTTGTGAATCATGCAGATGAGGTTGAAAGGTGGAGATCCGTGGAATTACTAAAACCTACAGTCAAAAATACACAAATCAATCATCCCTCCGTAGATCTGGGTTTCGGGTAGGCTGGTAAGCCTTGTCTGTCAGTGCGAAGAGAAACAAAAGGCCCATAAGCAAATACAAGATTAACATACAAAGCATGAAACATAGTATTGTGTCTGGTGAGTGTGTGGTCATGGTGCTGTTGAGGTTGGGTCTGGTTGTAGAGAACAATGAATAGAGGAGAAGAAGAAGTGAAAGAAGGAGGAAAAAGGAAAAAGGAAAAAGGAAAAAGGAAAAAGGGGATGGGCCTTGGGGAAGAAAAGAAAAAATAGGGTGGGGGCCTTATAAAGCCGTCCCATCGGGTCAGGTTTCTGTCTGACCCAACCCCTTTTTATGCCAACAGGCGCGATTCTCGGAGGGATTTTCTGGATCCATTAAAAGAATGGTCTCTATATTTTTGACAAAGTCCTCCACAAAGGGTTTCAATCACTGAGCATTGACGATAATGATATTATCATTTGATGGGTTCTCCACTTCCACTGCCCCATGTTCAAACACTTTTTTGGCAATGTATGGTCTTGTCCATCTTGACTTCAACTTGCTAGGAAAAAGGCGGAGTCTTGAATTGGAAAGCATAACTTGTTGATCAGGTTCAAAAGTTTTTCGCACAATGTTTTTGTCATGAAAAATTTTCATCCTGAATTTTGCAATCTTAGCATTTTCATATGCGTCATTTCTCAATTCCTCCAATTCGTTAATCTGAAGTTTTCTTGCTAGTCCGGCTTTGTCTATGTCAATGTTCATTCCCTTAATAGCACAGTATGCCCTATGTTTCAATTCCACAGGTAGGTGATAAGGTTTTCCATTGACTAATCGATAAGGAGACATGGCCAAAATTATTTTGAAAGCAATACGATATGCCCAGAGAGCATCAGTTAGTCTTGACGACCAATCTTTGAGGTCTGGAATTACCGTTTTTTATAAAATTAATTTGATCTCCCGATTAGCTAATTCAGTCTGTCCACTAGTTTCTAGAAGGTATGGGGTTGCAATTTTGTGAAAAATCAAATATTTGTCCTCAAATTTCAGAAAAAGGGCGATTGCAAAACTTAGCACCCCCATCACTTATGATGGATTGTGGTATTCCAAACCGGGATAAAATATTTTCTTTTAAAAACTTAATCATTATTTGATGATCATTATTCCGGCATGGAATTGCCTCAACCCATTTGGATACATAGCCTACAGCTACCAAAATGTATAGATAGCCAAAGGAAGAGGGAAATAGTCCCATAAAAT